CCTGGAGCCTACTTTGAGTTCTGTGTCTCCCTCTCTCTCTGCCCATTCCCCCACTCTCATTCTGTCTCTCTCTGTGTCTCAAAAATAAATAAAACGTTAAAAAATAAAAGAACCAAAAAATCTGAAACCGCTTAAAAGAAGAGCCAATTTTATCAGGTCAAATTTAACTTTGTGGGAAAACACAGAGAATTAATCAAGTAAAGGTAGAGAACTAAAATGCCTGGGAGTCATATTTTGGTTTCAGCTAGTAATGTGTTGTTGCTTTAAAACATACACCCCTGAAAACATGATGCTAGGGTATACACAAAGGAACCCAATATGCAAGGGCCAGGAAATAACATATAAAGCAACCAGTTTTGACAGATGTCTTAACAGTTCAAAAAAAAAAAGTAGAAAGCCCAATAGCAGTGTGGTACAGTATAAACACTAGAAGGGGAGTTAGAAGATCGAAGTTCCCCAGTTCTAACTCTGACATTAAGCAAGTCTCTTTAACCATTCTGAGTCTCAGTTTCCTCACCTTTAAAATGAGGATGTTCAAGGCCTTAAATACCTTCCGAGTCTGAATTTGGATGAGAGTAGGTTAAAAGGTTCTTGTCAAGTAAAAAAGAATATGGGTCAGGTGTTATTTCTAAGAACCTCTCCCCCTCCATTCAAAATGCACTTAGAAGAGGAAAGAAATAATTTCCACAAAAACAAAAGCATATTGTCTGTTAGATAATAGACACTATAAAGGAACCAGTATCAACAGGGACTTGTCATAAGCAAGTAAACCTAAAAGCAATGAAACAGATCAAGTGATCTCTTAAGCTGCCTTCTAGCAGCATTATTTAAAGTATTATCTATGCTTCTTAAGAGAAATACTAAAAATGACTCCCATATATTTGGAGATAAGAGTCTATACATTCTATTTGTAAAGTCATGTGATAACTAACCATTCTCAACATATGCACACAGAAACTTTTGGTTCATAAGGTAACTTGAACACAAGAAAGGTCCATTTTATAATCTTACCAGATTGGCTTTATGAATAGTACAAATAAGGAACTACAGCTGATACCAATAAACAATCTAATTCAAAGTCTGGAAGGCAAAACTAACTGCAAACTGATGACAAATGTATCCCCTTGACATACCAAATTTGCCACTAAGTGCCACATTTAGTAGAATGTCAATTCCTTCTGGAGCTAACCCACTCTTCCAAGCCACATTTTCCACAGTTTTCAAGTGTTTTTCCAAGGTTTTATCTCTACTCCGTGAAGTTTCAACAGGACCTGGAAAAAGGAACAATATTAAATAGTGGGACCTTTAAAATTCTTTCAGTCTTCAACCTCAACAGTTGCAACTTGGGATACTATAAGGAAATAGCTTGGGGCGCCTGGGTGGCGCAGTCGGTTAAGCGTCCGACTTCAGCCAGGTCACGATCTCGCGGTCCGTGAGTTCGAGCCCCGCGTCAGGCTCTGGGCTGATGGCTCGGAGCCTGGAGCCTGTTTCGGATTCTGTGTCTCCCTCTCTCTCTGCCCCTCCCCCGTTCATGCTCTGTCTCTCTCTGTCCCAAAAATAAATAAAAAACGTTGAAAAAAAAATTAATAAAAAAAAGAAATAGCTTTATGTTAAAAATGTCTTCCCCAAAATGTTTCAAAGCCTTTAAAATTCTACAATATTTAACAGCAATGGAGCAATAGCACCTTCAGTGAGGAAAACTGAATCATGCTCTGGCATCTCTGATCTAAAGTAACTAAAAGCTGAACTTAGACTATAAGCTGATCCAATACTAGAGCAGTAGTTCCCAAACTCTGCTGCAAATTGGAATCACCTAAGGAGACTTTTAAAAATCCTGATACTCATACTGCATTCCACACCAATAAAATCAAAATGTCTAAGACTGGATGCCAGGCATCAATGTTTTTTTAAAGATTCTCAGATAATCCCAATGTGCAGCAGTTTGGAAACCACACTGCCAAGAGTTTGTTTTGTTGTTGTATCCCTAGTACCCAACATACTGACATTAGTAACTGCTCAATAAATGCCTATTAAATAAAAAAAAGCATGAATGAACAAAAATATGCTTTCCTTTAAAAACCCATCAGGGAGCACCTGGGTGGCTCAGTGGGTTGAGCATCCCACTCTTGGTTTTGGCTCAGGTCGTGATCTCCCAGTTCATGAGTTTCAGCCTCACAATGGGCTCTGTGCTGATGGTGCTGGGCCTGCTTGGGACTCTCTCTCTCTCCCCCCTCTCTCTCTGCCCCTCCCCTGCTCATGCTTTCTCTCTCTCTCTCAAAATAAATAAAGTTAAAAAAATATTTAAAAAATTAAAATCCATAAGTAAAAGGTGTAGGATATTTTTTTACAGAAATAGAACTTTCATAAGAAAAATTATCTGTCTTACCTTTCTCAAAGTATCTCACTGCTCTTTTCAGAGCATCTTCTGCTTCATCATCAGCATGTCCATAATCTTTCACTGGATCGTTTTGTCCATGTTTTAAGCTGCACTTTGAGTCATTTAGGTCCTCTTCTTTCAAGGCCAAGAGATTAGTCTTATAACTATCACTATCTTGTGAAGTCTTCTTTTGTGCCTTAGAGTCCTTAACTCTCTTTTGAGGTGACATTATTGCATATGTTCTATACAGAAACAAGTGTGAAGTTACCATTAAACAGGCAAAGCATCCCTTTTTACTCCACAAAGACAGGAACCATATCTGCCTGGTATTCCCAAACATTCAGTACACAATAACTATCACACAAGCAGCATACACACAAAATACCTGTCAACAATCCTGGCAACAAAGTCTATAGGTTAACTTGCACAGAAAGCCCTTGACCGAAATAGGAATAGGGAGAAACAACTCTCCAAGGTAACATTTACAAGTTGAACTTGACTTATTGTGGAAAAAAAGAGTACAAGCAACATAGCAAGCTCTCTTAAAATGGCTCTATCACACAATAAGTCCAAAACTATTCCATCTCATACATTCAATCTCACTTTCTCCACTCACTCCTATACTTCTCCACCCTCCTTGATTTTGCTTTTAATCTTTTATGCCCACCACTTTGTGAGTGCTAAATTAAAACTGCACAGTTCAAAAGTCAAACTGGTGACCAAACTAAGGATTCTCACAACAGAATTATTCCCCGTGAACTCATTTATTCCATAAATAATTATTGATCAACTACATGCAAAGCACAGTTCTAGTTACCAAGGATAAGATAACAAAACAGTCAAGGTCTCTACCCTAATGAAACTTATGGGGGTAGCGTGGGGAGGAGTGTGAAAGAGGGGAGTGATACCATCTGATTTGTTGTAAGACTGTTTCAGCTGCAGTGTGGAGAAAAGAATGTTAGGGGATCAAGGAGTGAAAACAGACCAATTTTTAAAAGTCTTGCAGAAGTCCAGAAGACATATAACTGTAGTCTGAACTAGGCCTAAAACAGCGGTGGAAGGGGTAGAAAATGACTGATATGTTTTGGAGATGGACTGGGCAAGGCTGTGATAAAAGAACTGGATGTAGGGAAAGAAAGGCTAAGAGAGGAACCCAGAATGCCTTTTAAGTTTTGGCCTCAATTAGGAAAAACTAAGGAAATGGTCGGAAAGACAGTTACTCAATCCCACCTCCCTACAACATATGAGGCCGGAGCAGGAGAGCAATACGTATATCTAAGCCAATGGGAAGTTCTAGGTTCTGAGTAGTTTCCTAGGGTACTAGAAAAGAAGCGAGGGATAGCAGCTTCTGAACCCATCCAGCTGAACCGTCCCATCATCGCTTCCCATGAACCCGGCCCTTCACAGCCTGCCCCAGCAAAGAGCTAACTTGGCCATGGCGACTCACCCACTAGACAGATACCTGGGCTGGGGAAAAATCCGACCCCAGCCACACATTGTAGGAGAGTCCTGCTCAGAAATCAGGAGATTCCCTCCGCTCTGAGGGCCCCCATTTGGCGCAGCCTTTAAAAGTACCTCACCTGTTCGAGCCCCGTGTCGGGCTCTGTGCTGACAGCTCAGAGCCTGGAGCCTGCTTCCAATTCGATGCCTCCCACTCTCTCTCTGCCTCTCCCCTACTCACGTTCTGTCTCTCCTTTAAAAAAAAAAAAAAAAAAAAGGAAAAGAAAAAGAAAAAGTACCTCACCTAACACGCTCCTTCTTCAAAGCCTCCAGAATTCAAACACCGCCTCCTAGATTCAAATAAATGGGCCCCGCCCCGCGCATGCGCTTCTGCGGAGACCCAGTCCGCGGCCAGGCAGAGAGGCGCGCTTTGCTGAAGCCTGATTGGTTGCGTTTCAACTCAAGGACGCGAGGCCGTGAGCGGGCTGACGCAGACCCAATTCCGGAGAGCCGCTCCCCCGCCCCCGCCCCGGGCACTGGGGGCGTGTGGGCAGTTGCTGCCAGAGCTAGCTGATTGGCCGTTGCTGCCAGAGCTAGGTGATGGCTAGCGCTCCCACTGTCTTAATAATGTTTGCCTTTGTTATTTTGCTTGAAACCCGACAATTAGTGTCTCGATTCCTGAATTTAACAAGAGCAATTCAGTTATAGTGATCATTTTGCCCAGATTGTCCCCAATGTCGGGACTTTGTAGAAAAACATGAAACTGCAAACTTAGCAATAAAGGCTGCTTCTCCCTTGCTGTACAAGAGACTTAGGTTATGAAGCTGTCGTTTTTCCCAGGTGAAGCAAGGGGGTGGGAAGAAGGGACAGCTGGATCTGCCCTCTTTATACCGAGGTTGGGCAGCCATATTTTCCAGGGTTTGCTAGAAACCTGTGTCCTAAAGTAGGTGTGGCACCTTGCACGTAACCCGCCAGGCAACACGTAAAGATTTCTAACTTTGGGGAATCAGTGAGTTTTAAAGAAACTGGCTAAAACAGCAACATGGGCTTAGTCTGAGACCTGAGTTTAGTCCCTAGTTTAATCTCTTAACTAGAGTAGGAATTAGAGAGGAAAGGTAAACTGAGTGGCTCTTACTGATTTTTTTTGAGGCCAAAGCATACCCATAAACTGTAGGCAAAACTGTAAGAGAAAACTGAAATCTTAGGAAGAAATGACGAATCAAAGATTAAGTTGATATATTTTGGAAAGATGACACAGAAATTACTATTGACTGCATCTCATGATTTTCGGAGTACTTTCATGAACTGTTGTTTAATCATGCGTAAGAATTGAATGTTTGATATTTGCTATGACAGCTGCTCCTATCTAGTAAAACTGAAAATTTCTCAAGAGTCATTTTTCATACTTTTAATGATTTCATAGACCCAAATGTGAATTGGAAGGGATTTTAAACCTTCAATCCCCTTCCCTTTTGTAGATGGTGAAACTGGGGCTCTGAGTGGTGAAATAACTTTACTAATATGACAGGTCTGTGGCATTGGAATTTGTGCCACTTTGTGGACACACACAGTGAGAGAACACTGGTTCACCTTTATTTAATATACCTGCAATTTTCTCTGAAATCACTCTTCCACCTTCCCTTGGCATCATCTAGTGAAACAGAACTCCAAAAACCTGAAAATTGTATTGATCCTAATTCTATGGCTTTCTGTTTTATATGCTGACATCACAAAATTGTGGGGAAACTTAAAATGAGATTGGAAAGTTGGTAACCTTGTTAGTATATTAAGTGATTATACTTCTCCTTCTCTTTCTTCTCCCTTATCCAGAATCAGAAATAAAAGAGACTGAATCGCTTGATATGACCCTTTCTTCCCAGATTTTCATTATTTGTCCAGGCAGTTTCCTCCAAATTTCAAAAATTTTTATTTTGAAAGAATGAGAGAAATAAGACAGAGGTATCAATTAACAAGAACAATGACACTGAAGAAAATACAATAATTTGTACTCCCCACACACACAACACCCCCACCCCTCTCCCCATCCCTGGCACAATAATATTAAAACCATCAAAGTACATCTAACAAGGAGAAACAGCAGTATGGAATGAAGAAAGCAATGTTTCATACTGCTCAATCCAACTAACCCATATCAAATGTCCTTCCCCCAGATAAATTACACCCACCAGAATTGATAAAGAGGTGTAGAGGGGACAACCATGGGAGTAACTTGGATCTCTGCTTACACTTGCAAAGTTCAGTGAAGATTCAATAGGAGTAGTGAGTCTGGCAGGGAAACACTGGTTACAGCTCTGTCAAGTTTCAGATGATCTAAGAGAACAGCTAGAGTTTGAGATTCACAGAATTCTAACAGGACTAATCCCTGCTCCCTCAACTGCAACAGTGGAGCAGCTGCCAAATCCTGGTTAGCTGCTGAGAATAGTAGGAAGTGAGACAGCTTTTGGCTTAAGAAAATCCAAAAAAGAGGTCTGGTGACAAGTTACTGTGTCAGTTTCAAACTGTGAGTAAAGGAGCTTAGTAGGTTGGATTGGGGCAAAGGAAAGGTGAAACTTCCAATTTTATAACTTGAAGAATTAGATTATGTACGGACTGCATATATCCCTTCTTTTAATTAAACTGAATATAGAGTATTTAAAATTTCAACAACTGTTACAGTGGAGGGTAATCAGTATAACTCAGTGTCTCAAATTGAAGGAACTTTTTCCTAAAGTGATAAATTGGTTCTCAGCTTAATCTATTGAGAGAAATTCCCTCATGCCACAGAAACATATCACTTGATTTATACCAGAAGTAAGTAGGATTCTCTTTATAGGAGGTTTATTTTATTCTGCCCTTACTAGAATCAGTCTATAAAGGGAAGGATACCTGTGCAGGATTAGTTTAAGATCAGAGCCTTCTCCTCGCACCTGCATGCACGCGCGCGCACACACACACACACACACACACACACACACACATACACACTACATACATTTTCCCACATATAGTCTTACAGTCACATGCTTGCTGGAGTCCATCTCACAAATACACTTCAATAGTTAGCCATATACATGTGCATGCAGCAAGATGTGAGAATTTCCCCGGAGTGATTAAAGGTGGTGCACTATGTCTATGTGGGGAGGTCATTTTAGGGTATAGGTGTACACAAGCCAATAGGGCCATTAACTTGCAGATTATATTTTTTCCTTTCCCTCAAGATAAATAAATCAAATGAAAAACACACACTGACATCTTCCTGGGTGTGATGGAGGCAACTGCCTGGAAGGTCCACTTTTTGCACTTTTGCTTTCCTATGATAACTTCATTTTGCCCTGAGGGGCCTTCTCATATAAGGAGGACTGCTCCTCTGCATTCCCGGAATTCCCTGCTTGCCCTGGTGGTGGTGAGGGCTTCTTCTCAGAAGACCGGTCTTCTGGCTTGCGAGCAATCAACAGGCGGCAGGTGAGCAGGATTCCAAACACCAGAGCATGGGCGTAGCGTTTGAGAGGATCACCAACTAGCTGATGGAAGAAGAGCACAGCCAACACGAGCAAGAGTAGGAAGAAGTTGGCCACATCTTTGGGACGCCCAGGCACAAGGGTCATGACAATGCCACAGGCCACCTCAAGAGCACCAATGCTTTTGCGGAGGAGAATGGAATTGATCCCCATTTTCTTCAGCAGAGGGAGGGCTCGGACATAGCTCTTGTAAGCACGTTTCTAGAGTGAAATACCATAAGGAATGCCACATTAACCATGATTTTAACATTAGAATGAAGAAAACACAAGCAAGGTCCTCCTTCCCCACCATTCCCTTTCTATGTCCCCACTAGGTCCCAATTTTTTTTTTACTGTGGCCCCTAAGTAAAATCTTGTAATTAAGATGAGAAAAAAGCAAGCAATCTTCTGAGGACCCTGTGATCTGAACCTTAGTAACAGCACAAAAGAGAATTTGGCTTTATTGTTAGAAATTATTTTCTGATTATAAATCATAAACAACACTAAAAGCATTTAAAAAAAACTTAGGGGTGCCCAGGTGGCTCAGCCAATTAAGCATCCAACTCTTGATTCCAGCTCAGTTCACGATCTCTTGGTTCTTGAGAACAAGCCCCTCATCGGGCTCTGTGCTGACAGCATGGAGCCTGCTTGGGATTCTCTCTTTCCCTTTCCCTCTGCCCCTCCTGCTTGTGCTCTCTAAATAAATAAATAAATAAATAAACAAACAAACAAATAAACATTTAAAAAATAAATAAAATAAATTTTATTGGGCCCATAAAATCTGGTATGGATTAGCCATATCTACATTTTCTAGCACTTGCCTCATCCAAACCCAGTTGAATATGAATACCAACCAAAATGAAACAAGGCAAGGCACATTATGGTAAAGCTTCACTAATTTAGACTTCCCTAATTTGGAATCTGATAAGTCAGACAAAAACTGAGCTAGAGTTTATATCTGTGTAATCTGTAAAAATTAAAAAGTGAGTGCTATGTGAATAGAAAAATACAAATGTATGCAAATACTAGACCCTTATATATCTTTAAAATATAGTAAGATAAAAATCATTCTCATGGCCATTGAGATAAATCCTTAGGCCTTTACAAGACACTACTTTGATTAGCCTGGTGCAAGTTCATTAATTTTAATTCAACAAATATTTATTAAACACCTACCATGGATTATGCAATGGAGATAAGGAGGTAAATAAGACAGGGTCAAGAAGCTCTTGGTCTAGTGGCAGGAAATAGATACATAAAACACCAGTAAAGAGCAGTGTGGTTAACAGCACATGATAGAAGCCTGTACAAGGTCTAATTATAGCCCAAAGTGAGACATCATAGAACAAAGAAGGGAGTCACTGGATACATTACAAAGCAATAAGATTATATTGACCTTAGAGTAATAGATAATCATATTTTTCACTGTATTCAGATTGGCCTGATCCTCATTTTTTAGTAAATCAATGAGATTTCATCAAATGTCTTACTAGGCCCACTGCTTTGTTTTTAGTAAGTATCCATTAATTCATTCAATATTTATTAGTGCCTCCTTGTGCTAGGCACTGTACTAGGTACTTTGGATACAGATGTCAATCATTCAAAGGCCCTGCCTTCCTGAAGCTTGAGTTTATATGATGAAAAGTAATGTAAATACAGAAGTGCAATAAAGTGTAATGGGTGCTGAATAAAATCATATAGTGGATAGAGTAGAGGCAAGCCAGAGTGGTCAAGTCTCCCTAGATGGAAACTGAGAAAAGCTAGAGTGGAATATTAAAGGAAGAGCAGGTGTTTGCAATATCAACAAGGGAAGCTCATTGGGGCACAGGAAAATGGACGAGCAAAGGCCCTGAAGCACAAAACTGACGTGTGTGTTTCAAACACTGCCCCAGTTCAGCATAGGTTGGAGGAGGGAGAGGTCAGAGTAAGACATGAGACAGGGGAGATAGATATGAATAATGGATCATGAAATCTATATATATCCTTTTATATATGTCTATATATGTGTCACCATGAGATCATGGAGAACTATATATGTTGTGTTGGAGAGGTGGACTTTATCCTATAAGCCAGGAGGAGTAACATAATTTGCTTTTGAGAAAGGTCCCTTTGGAAGTAATGTGGAGGATGGATTGGGAGAGGTATGCTTGGAAGCAAGGAAACCAAATAAGAGTAGGGTAATGACAGTAAGGAGAGAGGGAAGGGATAGTCAAGGATACTTTTAATGCAAAATCAACAGAATTTGGTGTCATATTGGATGTGGACACTGAGGGAGAGGGATACGTCAAGAAAGATTCTCTGTTCTCTGGATTGGGTACCTGCATAGAAGAGTGTTACCATTCTCCAAGTTTGGGGATGCATCTGGAAGAACAAGTTGGGGGTGGGGCAAGGGGTAGGAAGGAATAAGGGACTCAATTTGGGGTTGTTTTTAGTTGAAGTATCTCTAAGACATCTAAGTGGGGATGTCTGGTAGGCAGCTCAGTATGAGAGATCTGGGATAAAGATACAGAATGGATAGTCATCAGTATCCCAGGTAGAATGTATTCAGTAGGGAAAACTGTGTGACAGATGTTTAAGAAATGGAAAAAGGAAGAGAATCCACAAAGTAGACAGAAGAGAGTGTAGTCAGAAAAGTATGGGGAAAGCCAAAAGACAAGGTCATGGGGGCCAAGGTTTTCAAGAAGAGAATAATCAAAAGTTCCATATGCAAGGCAAGGATTATAAGAATCAGGAAGAAAGCCAACTTGACCTCTTAGAAGCATCTGGCACGTAGAATATGTTCACACAATCTAGGTTTGGAACAAATGTTAAGTCATTTCTCTCACTTCTGGATAAGTGAATACACCTTATTTCATGGATTAATTATCATGAGTGGCACAAGATAATCCTCTATGAGGACTGTTAAAAGACCAATGGTTCACTGGAAAAAACCCCATGGGTTTTGATTCAAACAGACTTGCCTTTAAATCCCATCTCTGTCGCTTTCTACTTGGGTGTCCATAGGCAAATTATTTTACCTCTCTGAGCCTCATTTTCCTGGCCAGGGTTAAGATTAAAGTGAAATGAGCAAGGCTATTTGCCTGGAATGCAAAATTTAAGAGGGCACCAAAAACACTTCTTGATTAAGGTAGATAATATCTGTAAAGAACAAAATATCAAAACTTTAAGTAAAGGCAAGATCCAAGTCAGCACTTGCACAGCTCTGCCTCACTTACCTCTTCCTAATCCTGGCCCTGTCAGATCCTGTGTTTAACATTTCACCTCACCCTGTCCCTGAGCACATAAAGAAACACAGCAAGTTAGACATTCTTCCTCCCTCATCCCATTTTCGGTTAATCAGGGATTTTGACAGAAATTAGGGGAGAGGTTCACCAGTAAGCAGTGGAAAACCCTGGGCTGAACTGAGCCAGACCCAAATGGAGCAGAGCATAGATGAGGGTTAGGGCACCTGGTGGTGGGGAAAAGTATGCCTGTTTCCTCTTGCTGTTAAACTAGATGCCACCTGCCAATTCTTTCCACTCTGCACTCTGGTGACAATAGCAGGGCAACATTAAGGAAAGAAATCTAAACCCAAGAGGCTTCCTTAACACTTTTAAGTAAGGACCATTTCTAATTAACAACACAAAGCTTCCCAAAAGGCAGTTCCTAATCCTAAATGTAAGCTTCTGACAAGATGAATGCAGGAGATAAGAAGAATTTCTTACAGTCAAGTTCAGAGCCAAGATTTTCAGATGCTGGCTGAGTGGCTTCTGGAAATGGTCCTGTTTTGGCTAAGGCTAACCACCCATCATTCAATAATAGATTCTTAACTATACCAGAGTGGAATCTGTAGCATTCGGCCAAATTCCAGGTCTTTAAATAAAGTTCCTAAGACTTCAGCGACCTTTATTTTCTTTTTTCTTTTTAATATTTATTTATTTATGAGAGATGGAGACAGAGCACGAGTGGGGGAGGGGCAGGGAGAGAGGGAGCCACAGAATCTGAAGCAGGCTCCAGGCTCTGAGCTGTCAGCACAGAGCCCGACACGGGGCTGGAACTCACGAACCATGAGATCATGACCTGAGCCGCAGTCACCCAGGCACCCATAGTGACTTTTTTTTTCTTTACATTTGCTGTAACTCCTTATTACTTTTTCAGTTGTTTATCTAACTTCTTAAACAACAGCTGTGGCTCTTTTATGAGGCTATTGCCTCTTTATTTCCCTTCTTTCCTACAGAGGAAACTGCATGACCATAAGCCATTTCATCAAATCTTTAGTTCAAAGTTGAGTAGGTACAGATAGCACCTATTCTCCAGGACTCTAGACAGGGAGTGTTTAATTTGTTAGAGATGGGACTCAGCTTGGGTGGGGTCTTGAAATTATAGGAAGCCCTTTATTCTTTCTCCTGTGGAGTAGGATGGAGACATCAAAAGAATCCTACTATTGTTAGCCCCATCAATGTTTGGTCTGGGCCACTTCAGTTCTAACAATAGAAGGGTCGCATGTTTTGAGTCTATTATAGTAACTAGATCTCTAAAGACTTTAATTGTTCTAATAGTAAGAATAAAGAGAGTTGACCTAGTCACTCTCCCAAAAGGCTCTCACAGATCACTTTGTTAGATCTGTTTCCTTTCCATTGCAACGACCTAGACCCTGTAACCATAGTTTCCTTATAGGGCAAGGAAGCAAGAAAAGAGGAGTGTTTAGTCAAATGTTTCAAATCCCTTCAATGGGAAGCATACAGCAATATCCTTGGGCTGAGATTCTTAAGATAAGCTAAATTTCAATTTTAGTTTTGCCCCTAAGTTGCTTGGAGAAAATTATTAAGTATTTTATTATCTGGGTTTCCCCTTTTATAAATTAAATGTGCAGTTTGGAGATTTAATAAAAAATCACAGCATCATGGCATCAACCAAGGGCCACAAACACACATTTCATAATTAATGAACCACACAATGAGAAGACCATGTGTTTGTAAGCCACAGTGATTTTTTTAATGGTAATAACAATGAATCAAACAGGTCTATTTTTATTGTATGAGAAAATATGATTCAGACATGAGTCAAAAACATATGGAGCCTTTCTTTAGTCATACTTTTTTTTCTTTTTGTCATTTACTATTCACAACACACCAGGTCCATGATCTCACGTTAATGATATTAAATTTGAACAGCTCAAAACTGCCTAATTACAAAGCACCAGAGTGGTTCAGTCAGTTAAGTGTCTGACTCTTGATTTCAGA